GCTGTCATTGATGAACCAAAGGGCACAATCTTCTCAGTTGTTGGCTTGATAATCTCCACAGACTAACAATATTGGACCGAACGATTCCTCTCGGCCACCTCAGGGGAAAAATCCAGATTACATATTAACCATGGCGAGTTTCGTTCAAGTGACAAGTTGCGATTTGCATGTGGATAATAAGTTGTTTGAAAGGTGGAATTATGACATTATGATTTCATTAAATCTTTTATTTCGAGCTTTGTTATAATTTTTTCTTTATCAAGACATGGAAGGAAACATTGATTGACTCGATAGTACTGCGGCGGTGATAAGTCCCTCCTCGCATATCGTATGCAAATTTTCTAACAGTTTTCTGACTGTTTTCAGATGATTTGGAATATCTTAATTCCTGTCACAAGGAAATGATAACTGCCCGAATCTGTTCTTTGTGAGGAGATGCCTATTTCGTTCAAATTGCTATTCTTCCAACTGGGTTTTACATGTAGTACTGCCGCTGACAAGTTACGATTTATACTCTCAGATTCTCAGTGTTTACGAGCGTTCAATTAATGTTTTCCTCTTTTTTTTTTTTTTTTTGGTTGTTTTTACTTCAGAAAGCGGAAATCTGCTGACATATAAGAAAAATATCTATTTCCTGTTTTCTTTGGAGCGACCGATGGAAACTTCATGGAGAAATACAGCGTCACGCCATCGTGATAACGTACATGTTTATGACAAATGACCAGTGTGAGAATACTTTCCTGTAGATCAGCCGACTTCAACATGTTTCAAATGACATACAAGTATAACAGTGTATCTTCAGAGGACTTCGGGTAGCTCAAATTCCCATGAAAGAAGGTGCAGCACTCGGAACCTGGACAATATGCACACGATTTGAGGTATATGTTTGTAGTTACGTCTAGTAGTCCTCCATGAAGTTTGATCAATTTTTTTAAAAAGATGACAACCAGAGGCGAGATTTCTCTTCGGGATATTACTCATAAGATAACATTCTTCCAAAGCCTCGCTCGTTTCATTTATCTGAAGCATTTGTTGTTGAGAACATTAGATGTAAACATCGCTAAATTATGCAATATGTGATTTTGAGCTTTTTTCGCGAACTGCCCCTATAAAAAGTAGGGGCAGGCCCGCAGAGATTTTTACATATTTAAAAACTAGAATATTATAACCAGCTAGGTGGGTAGTTTCAGTTCCAGTATTGGTGTACTTTTGGAGAAATTCAGATAAACGTTTTCCCTGTTTTACCCGACAGCAAAAATGACCGAAACTGTACCGAGATGAATAATCTGTTGGTGTGTTCACATTCACTCCCAGGGGAAATTGAATGAATCAAAGTGAAGACGAATGATGTCACTATATATGGTACAAGTGCCAATTTGTAATGTTGTATTTAGCTTGAGATAGAGAAATAAACATTTCACTCTTTTCTTGCGACGTTTTTGTATGAAAATGAGGCCCTAGGCCTCGAACAAGCAGCCGTTGTTACCATGGCAACAAGAGTGCTGCGACCTTTAAAAAGGGCATTTTTGTGCATTCCCCCTGAGTGCCTAACTGCATGCAAAATTTGAAGGGGGGTTGAGAATTTCCATTTCCCAAGATGTTTGATTCTTACAGAGACTCGTTCTTAAGCTTGCCAGAAAGAACAGTCGCCTGGTCTCGTCTCCAACGTCGTACCATAGACTCGCCAAGTCCATAATCTCAAGCGATTTTCGAGCTGTTTCCTACAGCTTCAGCCTCCGCGACAACTTTTATCCTGATAGCCATAGTATACGAAGAGCGGCATGCTTTTTGCATGATGAGAAAAATAACAGTGACGAAAGAGATACTCGATTGAAACGTTAGTCAGGTTACAGTAACTGAGAGTATTATTGTGTTTCTACAGTTTCGTAGTAGTATTTACATCTTCACTGACTCGCTTTTTTTTTCTTTTTTAGAAAGTAACATATTGTAATATTGTCAATTCAACATAAACAAAAAGTAACGTATTGTAATATTGTCAATTAACATAAACAAAAATCTTCACACAGGGTAAATATTCATTTGTGTTGGTATAAATTATTGCGTGACTAGCTTATGATATACATGGGGTAGGGGGAAACACAACGTAAAACCTGGGCTCCTGGCAAAAAGTAATACCCAAGCGTAATCTAATAACCGAAACAGTTTACTGGTCGTATAAAATCAAAATAAACAAGATAAGAGTGTTATTTTTTTGACAAATTGTAGTGATTTATGCCAATAAACGGTGGCGACAAGTAGGCACACCATGTACATTTCATAGTCGCTAGCAAGTAAATTTTGCCGGACTTTGAGTTCATCTCACGATAGAACAACGCAAATACACAAGGAAATTTTAACAGTAACTTTATAGCCATCCTTTTGTCTTTTAAAAGCTAGAAGCTCAATAGATTCTGTCATATCGGTCATTGTTATAACTGTCTTTGTTTTGATGCTACTTTTCTACATAGAAAAAGTATGTCGGACACAAATATTCACCAAAAAATAAATATTTCTTTGCCAGCTTCAGCGCTCTGATTGGCCATAAAACCATTTTACATGAGCGTGTATAAACACGGTTTTCGTTCCTCTTTCATTAGTTATTTAATAAAAGAAATGTAAAATGGATAAACTCGATAAGCTGGAAACCACTCCGCTTCGCGTCGTGGTTTCCTACGCTTATCTCGTGTTCTCCCAACCTCCCGCGTGTATAAATCAGGCTATGTAAACACGGAAACCATTTTACATTTCTTCAACAAAACATGAAAGTAGGAGAGAAAACAAATTTTGGGGACTTGCTGCTGTTTGCTGATGCATGTTGACATTAGCTCTTAAGTTACTTCTCCGCTCAGAGTTTCATTTACATGGATACGACACAGATTGTAGGTTCGTTATCTTTCGTTGGGTCTTTTAGTGACATTTTGTAGTTAGATATAGATAGACATTTGTGTCTATTTGTTCGTATCTGTAATCGCATGGGCCCAAGGGCAATTAAGGGTTAATTTCCCGCGTATTTTTTTCAATGTTCACCCAAAATTGCCCGAGTCGCGAAACAATTAAAAAATGTTTGGAAAACTTTGAAAATACAGGTGAAATTAGTCTCAAATTGCCCGAGGGCACTTGCGATTCCTTGTTTATCACAGAAAGGGCAAAATGTTTGAGGGAATTGCATTCGCGCACGCTTACGCTATCCGTGCGATGAATCCCTTTCAATGCCGCTACAAATGTCAAAACAAATGTAAGTGATCAATAGATACGATGAACCTTTGTCATTGTTTTCCTCATCTGGTGTGATTAAAGCCATTTTTTACTCGCCTTCTTTCCTCTTATAAATATCATTCAATATATCTTATAAGACGTTTTGGCGTCTTGTATCGCTGAGTATTTTTACGATTTGAGCTGTATTTTGTCGAATCCGCAGGGTAAGTCAAATACAAACAACGATTTTTACAATTATTTATGTTAATGCAATTTTTAGAAGGCGAGAAAAGCGAAGTAAACAGAGAAGCGGTTTTTTGCGTAATGCTCGCGTCGGATTGGCTCATGAGACGTCAGCTTGTCACAAGGTGTCAAAACGATTCAAAGTTGAATTTGCTCTGAAATCATGCATATTTAAAAGTAACACAAGTACAAAAGTGTTCGTTTTTCAATGAATAATTAATCGCCGGTAACAAAGCTTTGAATCTACCGGGAGACATACTCTCAAAGACAGGGATGAGCTCTAAGAATATCCAAAATAATTTCCAAAACTAATTTTCATTTTCATCATCCTACTCAATCACATGGCGACGACACTTCGCAGGAATATATCGCTGTCGTTACTTGAGGAGCTAAGGGCTGTGAACTAAGAACAATGGTACAGTTGTTAAATACGGCACCAGAGAAGGCAAGTGAAGCCAACTTGTCAAACAGGCTTTTTTAAAGTACAAAATAACCAACTGTCCAAAAAATCGTACATGATCGCAAGATATTTGTTCTCTACTTTGTGCAATTGAATGATAAGTTGAGATATCCACATCGCTTCTGCAGAGCCTCGACTTCGCGTTCTCGTATCTCAGTTTTCCCTCTACGCGTACGAATATTTCTCACGTGAGCTATTATGACGCTTAAAAACAGTAAAATCAATTAACGGCTCATTTGATCAGTTAGTTTCGTGGTACAATGGGCATCTAAACTTAGAGGTCTTCATAAAGTGCCAAGCGTTCCCTTCAAAATGCAACCTTTGTTAAGGAACATTCTTACTTTGGTAGTAATCATAGTTTTCGTTAGTGAAGGCCAAATCGATGCAGTGAGAAGTCTCGAAGAACTTTACGGTAAGTTTAGAGATGTATTTTCAATTTCACCAAATTATCAATTTGGTCCATTTTTCCCGCCCGATTCCGAATTTTGAATCAGTTCTGTGCATCGTTGTCGAAGGACACTAAGGAGTGATTGCCATAGTTTTTCTTTTCTTGTAGGAAGATTTTTCCCACCTTAAGTATGTGATGTTCAGTACTCGTTCTCTGTGAATGAAAGGCTGATTCAGTTCGAGTAAACTATTGGACCGATGACAAAATTTTCTCTCTGAAACAATGCTTCAACTGAGCCCATGGTTTAATAGATTATTAGGAGAGTCATGTTTGCTTTTCTTTGCAGTGTTTTGAAACATTAGATCGAAATAGCTAGTACTGAATTAAAGAAAAATTACTCTCGTGAAAACTTCCTTCTAACGGTTTCAACGAGCTCTTGCCATGACGTAATGTGAAAATCACTGAACTCAACTGAAGCTTTGCTCGAGAAAACTTCGTCTCCAAACGGATGTTTTTCTAACACGAGAGCAAGAACAAACCAGAGAAACGGATAACGTGTGACTTCTCTGATATTGATCAAATTCCGGTTTAAAAATTGACTAACAATATTAGGTCATCAACAGCCAATTTGGGCACTATTACGACATTGCACACGTAATGTAAAAGTTTACGAGACATTTGCGCGCGCTATTGTTCCCTCATATTTCGTTTTTTACTCTTTTTTTTTCATGTAAATCACGGGCAACATATATTAATCACCAAGCGGGAGGTCCGTATTAGGAAAAACTGAGCCCGAAGGTCTCGGATGCTACTCAAGGCCGCCACAATTGTTATCATGGTCAGTAAAGCGTCGCTTATCATTTCAACATCGTTTTTTTCCCTTTAAACAGGAACATGCGACAACGACGAAGGTTGTCTACTAAGTCACAAATGCGTAAACAAGAGATGCCAGTGTAGGGATGGCTTGGTCGGAGATGCATATAGCTGCAAAATTGGTAATGACCTATTTGTTTATAGCCTTCAGAGCGGGCGTAATTTTGGCGAGCGAGTGCTTAATATCCTCTGTGACAAGTATGGCCGCCATCTTTGATTTTAATGGCAGCGGTAGGCTGAGAAGAGAAAATAATTTGTGCCAGGGGGGTGAGTGACGGTCACAAATGAGGAGAGGGTTGTGGGTGGCGGAGTGAATATTACTTTTCGCCTTTTCCAGGCCCCCCCCCCCCCTTCCCCTTCTCCATCCTGCTGTCTCTATCTCCAAATCAAACATGGCCGGTTGCATAAACGATCTCGAGTTTCTTAAAAGTTAACGCGCCCAGATAAGACGCCTGCACTGCACGCTAATTTGTTTACTTCATTTGATACTTGCCAAGCTCCGGATCGGAGACACGTGGTTTCGATCTCTAGTTGGGTCTAAACGGCGGAAGGGCGGAATGACAGAATGGCGGAAAATTACCCATATCCTAAAAGACAGAATGGTGGAAAATCACCCCAAATCCTAAACGACGGAACGGTGAATACAGTATTTTCCTTTGGGTGGGGGCTAGGACCTGTAAACAGAAAACTTGTATTATGTTAACCAGGCGATAGAGATACACGGATTTTAGGAAGCCATTTACATAAGAGAAACCTCAATTTAAAAAAAAAAATCAATGAAGAGAACATCAGACACTCAAAGACGCGATTACGCTAAAGGGGCTATCCAAATAATCTGACGCTCTGACGCTCGATCGCTCTGACGAAGGGCTAACGCTCGAAACGTCAGCATCTTACTCTTTACGGTGGCCAATTTACGTTTTCAACTCAGTTGTTAACACTAAATTACCTGCTATACTCTCCCACCGACCCATCACCACAGTTTCTTTCGAAACTTACCCCTTTACCTAAATAATCTAATTGAAAGAATTCTCACAGAGGTTGATTTCATGGACAGGAAAACAACACTCCAGGAGAAATACAGAGTGCAACTAACCACATTGCCTTTTGTTACACAATATAACCCATCAGTGATCAGCCTTGAAAAAGATTTTATTGAGCAACTGGCAAATTACGGAGAAGCAACCAAAGCTTCAGAAAATTTTTAAAGAGCTTCCGATAGTTTCATGTAAAAGGGGGAAAATCATTTAAAGGCATGCTTTAAAAGGTCTCAAAGGTCTGAAGGTCAGCTACCTCGAAAATAGCCTAACCACGAAAACAGCAAAAGTCGGGTCAGCCTGTTAGCCCAGCAAATACCTCGACAACCACAAAATCATCTCAAACAAACTGAACAGCCAACATAATGTTACACATTACGAGGAAAGATGATTTTTTGAATATTTCATTTCCGCGGAAGTTATCATCATGAGGGGAAAAAAGGACGAAGAAAGATCTCACTCACTTACGTTCACGACCAGAACACCGCTATGATATAGCAAAGGAAAAGACAAGAATGAGTGGGAAGTGTGTACCATTATTCCGTCTTTTAGGATTTGGGATGATTTTCGACCGTTCCGTCTCTTAGGATTTGGGGTAATTTTCTGTCGCTCCGTCTTTTAGGATCTTAGGTAATTTTCCGCCGTTGCGTCCATTGGGATGTGGGGTAATTTTCCGCCGTTCCGTCTTTAGGAATTTGGGAAATTTTCCGCCGTTCCATCTTTCAGGAATTGGGGTAATTTTCCGCCGTTCCGGCTTTTCGAGCCACCCCTATCGTGTTGTGCTGATGAAAGGAGTACAAAGACCTTATGCCCATCTCCTCCCCTCCTTGGATCAGAAATGGATAGTGAACTCCTGGGGATCGAGGATGCAATTAAGTCACTGAAAGATATCTGCAGAATTCTACCGTGCAGCACATTATTTTTTAATTCTAAGTAGCGTTGATAATTCGAATCAAATAATTAAGGTTCACTTATTTTGTTAGATCATTTTGTCTTATGTTTTCCTTTTAACCAGCGGACCCGCCGTCATGCAAAACGAGCAAAGACTGTCATAAAAAGGCAGCTTGTGTGGAAGGAAAATGCCGTTGTATGGGTTATTTTATAGGAGACGGCAAACGTTGCTTAGGTAAGAGACATTCATTTTGAAATAGAGTGTGTTTCGATTGAGTATCGTGAAACGTTTAACAACCGCGTTGCAGTAGACGATTTAATTCTCGAGAGCTTGTAGATCTGTGGTGCTGACTAGAAGGACCGAGAGCGGAATTTGTGTAGGTCTTCAAGCATCGCAAGATTGATTGACAATCTTTTCTCGAGGTCAGCAGATGATCAGAGATCGAAATTCCACGATGAACCTAACGAAAAAAAAATTGAATATGTATCCACTCACAATATGACAATTTTTTTTTTCCAGCTACAAAATCTGTGAATTGTATGACAAAAGATTATTGCGGAGATAAAGGGACGTGTCTTTTTCATCCTCTACGTCCTGATTTTGCCGTCTGTAAATGCTGGATTGGATACGTGTTTAACGACAAGCAATTATGTGTCGGTGAGTCACCATGTGGGGCTGTAATACTAACATATTGTCTGAGTGAGGGAGGGGAGGGTCGTACGAGAAAATATCTGGCTGAAGGTCCGAATCGAGAGCCAAAACTTTTCTTGTTCATCCCAACCTAACTCAGTCACTAGGCATTTTATCGCGAGCGACCGTTGTTCCTTCTCCCTCGTCCTGCTTTTTGTTCGCTGTTCGCGGGGTCTCGTGGCTTTTTCCAACCCTGCGGCCAACACACGGAATTTTGTCTCAAGGTTTTCTCTGAATTCTACGGCGAATTACAAACAATCTAAAGCCTCTTTTTTTCAATAATTTTTGCGGCGCGCTGAATGATACGTTTAAAAAGGACTAACCGTCGAAAAAGGACACTGATTTTTAAGAGCGATTTTACAAACAAGCAGCATTGTCATTTTTTCTATAATCACAGAAAAACGTTCTTCCTACTTGAATAAACTTTTAAGGTGTCGTGGCAGGCAGGAAAATATGTAGCTCGAGGTAACTAAGTACTGAGCGTGCGTAGAAATAGAGCAAAATAGTTTCCCCTCTGCTTCGACGTCACTGATGAGTATTTTATACGATTGCCGGTTTCTCTCTTTCCTCCTTTCCTCGTGCATCTTACACCCCGCGAGGTCGTGCAGCTTTCTCAGGCCCTATTGGTGCTACCGTGTACGATCTTCATACGGGAATTTTCCAACTCTTGAGACACTGCCATTTGTATTTTCCAATCTTTTCGAGTCATTTTCGGCTTTCTTGAAGGGCACAATCTTTTTTTTTTAATTTGGGACAAAGCTTCTTCAGAAATAATATAGATAAATGAACGTCAAAGTTTTACAGTGAATGTTACTTGGCATGCGAATTGCCTGAAAACTTCATATTTTCATGATTCGAACCAGCTGAAACTTGAGCCGTGTGCCTTCAGGAAGTATCAGAAGTTTATGAACCAGAGAGAGTTATAATCCTCTGGAAGTATTCAACGGTCCTTTCCTGTTAACCCTTTCACTCCCAATATCTCCTTAGTAATTCCTCCTACTATCTGTCATCCAATTCCTGTGATGTTAGTTGCGAGAGTGTGTCATGAAAACAACTAATAATCCCATCGTTACCGTTATTTTTCATCATTCTCATCACTTGTCTGTTTGATTTTGTAAGGAAAAATTCTATCTTGGTCACTTGGAGTAGTTACAGGGTTGAGGAAGATAATTTAAAGATCTGAACGGGTAAAATCTTGCAGTGCAGAGATTCGTTAAGGATTATGGCCTTAATTCATTTGTTTCAGCGCCAAATATACCATGTACAGACGACAAAGATTGCTCTTCTAAGGCCAAGTGCGAGCATGGACTATGCGTTTGTCAAGGAAACCGAGTGGGAAACGGCCGCGAATGCAGAGGTAACCAGTCAAGTAGACAAATAAGAGCGACGTACTGATGCTTATCGTCGAGTCTTTGTTGCTCAGTGCTGCATTTCGTCGGGGCGGGTAATCCGGGGGTTTGAGGTTTAATTCCGCACGAAGAATATTTCCTTTGTCTCACTTTTATGACATAACGATAAAACATCCCTCTCATTTATCAAGACAACGTTCTCCATTTCGAGTCTCATGAAAAAAAAAAAAGAAAAAAAAAGTGAATTCTGAATTTTTTAGACGCCAAGGTATGCAAAGGGAAATGTAACACAAAGAAAACTAAAGGTATTAAGTGTCTCGTTGATCCAATGATGCCAGAAGAGAAAGTCTGCAAATGCCCACCGAATCAAGTTCACGCGGCTGGAAATTCCCAAAGATGTGTCCGTAAGTCCACTCTTGATTGACATAATTAATTTATATTTAGGTGTTTAGAAATATATGGGAAGGGGTACAGTACTCTGAGGCCAGAGAATTTAATTTTCGAAAGTCGGGAATCCATTTAAGTAAGTTTTGATCAATGTGTATCAATATTTTATACCTGAGAAAGGGATATTCCCTTAAATCCAGCTAGAAGGCCGGTTTTCCTTTTTTTTTTTTTTTTTTTTTTCACATTTCACATTTTCACATTTTTTTCACATTTCGGAAAATTTAGCGTTGTAAATGGACTATATTTTGTTTCCCAAACTATTCCATATAACGTATTAAGTCAACGGTTTCTCGCGTAACCTAACACCGCGTAACACAACGAGTGACACTTCAAAGAATAAATACATATGTGTCCGAGAATTAATTTTTCGTCTTTCTCGAGATGTGAGCTTGGGACGTCTCTGCTCAAACTCCTTAATTGCAGCCCAGGGTTGTAAGATTGTATGTAAACGCGTTTTATTTTTCGACCACGGTTATAGCGTCCCCCACCTCCATGTAAACAGGCCCAAAAACTCGTCGTCGACCACTTGGGGAGGACGAGTTTTTTCAGGTTGTGTGACCGTGACAGAATTAGTGCGCATGCTCAGTATGCGCGTGAAACTGGTCCTGGTCCTGGTCCTAGGTCTCGGATCTGAAGGTCTCTAATACTTACACTAACAATACCTATGTAAACATTACGCGCTTCTAATAGTTGTAACATGAGTGCAAAGCTGTAACACCAGTTCAAATTACAAATAGCACGCGCGCTGCCAAAATTTCGTCTGTCCTCACTTTCTGTGATGCTTTTTTCATGTTAATCATTATCAAGTAACAACATGATTTCTTGCGCAATTTGATTTAAATAAGCGCTTGTAAATTTTCAGGACTACAGATTGCACTCGCCCGGGCTCGTGTAACTTTGTTGTACTCTGAAAAATTTTACTCCTACTCACATACACCCAATTGCACCCGAAATCATGTTATTACCTGGGCATGTTTTTCTCGAAATTTGTTGCAGCCTGCATGACTGACAAGCAATGTAAAGGGAATGAGCGCTGTGAGGATTTTGAGTGCAAGAAACCTGGTAAGATTACCGTTTTAGCAAATCCAAATTACTTTAGAATTTCTGAAAGTGTTTGTCCGTGTGAGAGGGGGGAAAGGGGATTACTTAAGTCGATTTTAGCTTGCTACAAGCCGCTGGCCTCTCAGAACCCCCTACCCCCATTCTAGCCTATAGTCTTCTTTGGGCAAATTTAATTCTGGCAATTCCAACTCAGTCACTTTCTGTAAATGCATCTACTTTATGGAGCCTTTTTGGAAGGTGGTTCTTAAATGAATTGACAAGTTGTAAACTTACTCGTAAAATCCCGAAGAAAAAACCTAAAATTCAACCCTTTTATAATCAATCCAGTCGTTAAAAAAGTGACCCTATCCATCGACACATCCCCATTAGGCTATTAAAACGAAGTTTCCCCCCCCCCCCGACAGAAAAAATTCATTCTTTGAGGGAAGACCGCTTGGCTACGTAATGTTCTGTTTGTTTTATAGATACTGATGAAATTCCTACATAAATAAAATTTTTTAACATCACTTTCCGAGACTTCCTGAATGTTCTTCAAGCTCGGAAAAGTATCGATGTGAAAATTTGGAGAAAGTCACCAGTAACTGTACCGTCTTCGCACCTCAAAGCCATTTTGTGAGTGAAATTTCAAAAGAACCGGCGCGCGCCTGAGCAAGAAGCTCTCATGTAATTGGCTAGTCATGCTAGTAACCATAGCGACACCAATATCCTCACACGTGAAAGATAAAAATAGTACCTTCACTGCGCGCGATGAAGATATGATTTTTTAGCAAAAGTAAAAATCCTGGTATTTCATCAGTATCTATATAATAATGCTAAATATGCTATTCAAAATTTGCAATGGTAGTTTATTGTTCTCTGTCAACCGTTAGTATCAGTCGGCTAAATAACTGTTGTTTTAAAACAGATTTACATCCGTGTGATTCGTCCGAGGACTGCGATAGAAATGCTGAATGCCGCGATAAAAAGTGTCACTGTAGAGAAAAGTACGCCGGGAATGGACGTAATTGCTCAGGTATAGCGACAGTGGGGAAGTGTAGGATATCAGAACCGTCTCCTCCCATTCAAACTTGTGGGGCTTTCACCTCTTGTATGACGCTAAGATTCTTGCAAAGATAAAATACATACTACTTTGGGTATGCAGATTTGCTTGTCTAGAAACATTTCCTGGCCTACTTAAGGCTCTAAAGTTAAAAAAGAATTGTTTGTCTTCTGATTTAAATTTTGGACTCCTTCGTTAGAAAACTCATTTACTAGTTCAAACAACGTAGAAAATAAATTTTAAACTGGTTAAATGAACCACAACAGTTGGCTCGAATAAAAATTTCGAGACTTTGTAGAATTGCAAACAAAGTGGTAACAACTTTGCGCGAACAAAAGCTAAAAAAATCCAACTAAAGTTAAAACAAACAGCAAAAGTACGAGGAAAATGTCCACTTCAGTTTTCTAATGTCAAGGTTAGAGTTCTTTGACGTGATTGGCTATTCGTGACTAAAAAAGGGAAGACGAAGGGGAGAGAAAGACAAAAATTGTTATTTGAAATCTAAAAGCAAAACAAATTTTCTACACCCCCCCCCCCTCCAGCCCCCTTCCTTATCAAAATTTCCTGTGTCCTTCTCTGCAACGAATGATAGTTAATTTCAAAGCTACATTTTCCAAGGTAAGGATAGGTTGTTTGGCGAGAAGATGCGCACCTTGATAAGTGCACAAAATTGAGCCACTTTTCCATGTTATGAAGATGTTAAGCTACAAAAAAGTCCATATAATATAGCTTAACATTCGTTTTCGTTTTACTGTTGATCAATCTCCTAGCTAGCCATGCAAACGGTCAATAATTCAGTCAGTCAATCAGTCAGTCATTATTTCAGTCATTCAGTCAGTCAGTTGGTTAATCCATCAGTTAGCCAGACAGTCAGTCATGCAGCTGGTCAGTCAGTTACCCGGTCAGTCAGTGGATCAATCAGTCAGCCAGTCAATCAGTCGGTCATTATTTCATTCATTCAGTTAATTAGATGATTAAAAAACTGTTAGCAGTTCAGTCGATTAAGCTGCCAGTTAGGCAGACAGTCAGTTTGTCAGTCGGTCAGATAGCCGGAGTGTGAGTGGGTGAGTCAGTCCGTCCGTGGGTCAGTCAGTCAGTTACCCGGTAGTCAGTCAGTTTGATAACGAAATAAACTGTCAGTCGTTCAGTCGTTTAATCTGTCAGTTAGCCAGACAGTCAGTTGGTCAGTCAATCCGATGGCCACTGAGTCAGCTGATGAGTTAATCAGTCAGTCGGTCAATGAGTTACCAGGTCAACAGGTCAATTAGATAATTAGATAAACTGTTTGCTGTTCACTCGTTTAATCTGTCACTCAGTCGGACTATCAGTCAGTCAACCAATCAATCAATCGATCGATCCAACTTTATTTCATTCATTCAGACAATCAGATAGTTAAATAAACTGTCGGCCGTTCAACAGGTTAATCTGTCTGTGAACCTCAGTCAATCAATGCATCAGTCAATCAATGCATCAGTCAATCAATGCAGTCAGTCAGTCAACAGTCATTCAGTCAGACATCAGGGCAGTTGCTCAGTGACTCAGACTGACCGATAGCAGAGCCAACAGTCAGTCAGCAAGCCGACGAAACTAGAATAATCGATAGAGAACTCCTCTTTCAAAAAACGTGCTTTTTATGGGTCTGCACTATTTGATTTGCGATCTGAAAACGTTGGGTCTTCCTTCTTTTTCGTTTCTTTTCAAATGAACTATCACTAATTGTGGTTAGAATGCAACTTGAGTCTATTACTTCTTTCATGCGATGTAATGTTTTAATTCCATTGTTTTCTATCACAGAGTCCTTACCGTGCCCAGTCGCACATGAATGCGATGCCAACTCAACTTGTATTAGAGATCCCAACTATCCTTATAGTCCTTATTGCAGATGCAAAGCCCATTATGAGAAGTCTGATGATGGCGCCTGTATAGGTAAGATCAAAAAAGATCAAATTCTTCAATAGCGCTATTTATTTGAAGCCCATTCACCCTGGACTTGATAAATTTGAAAACATTGTTTTCATTCTGAAACTTCCCCTAACATTTCCATCCACGCCGTGCCGGATAAACTTCGCCAAATGCAACAGTTTTGGTGACAGAAACGCTTTACATTTGCATAATGGGAATAAATCAATCATTTCGTCAAAAATTAGAAACAGTGATCTCGACATTTTCGAAAAGCTACATTTTCGCTCCGAGTTGGTGTCAGTGGACGGTGCTGGTGGTGCGCGATGTTGATGAGTCGTCAGTGTGCATCTCCAATTTATGAATCACTGTAACAAACCCAACGTTGAATGTCTTTAGTCTTCTTTTTTTTCTGTTTACATGGAAGAGAGGCAGATTACCACTAGTAGAGTGTTGTAGATTTTAAGACTGATCATCAAGGATGTACTTTTGTTTATCTATGGATCATTATTGTCATTTTTTTTTCAAGAAATTACTGAGTGAACATTTGAAAAATGTGTGCTTTAGTGGAGAAGTTCGCAAAATAATTGTTGACAATCAATTTTAATAATATGATGGACCGAAGTTAAATTACTTCGGGACTACCTCCTCCCTTGCATGAATTTTTATGTTCTAGTCAGTCAGACATCTCTTCTTCTCGTCTCAGTGCATATTTTTTAGCGCGGGGGTTTCAAATATATTTTCCGAGGTGCATGAGCAGAACACATTGCAATTAAACAAACATAGTAGACTAATTTTTAGGGGTAACATAGCGTGTATTTATCTTATATCTATTGTATACATGCAGATATAGACGAATGCAAAACTCCAAACAAGTGCCCAGCTAAGCACAAATGTGTAAACATGCCTGGCTTCTATGAATGTCCTTGTAAAGATGGATACGAGAAGGGAGATGGCGACGAGTGCGTGAGTAAGTACCACCGAAACTTCCAATTCGAGATTTTTCGTAAAGGTTTGAATAATTTAAATCCCTGATGCTGACCAGACAGTTTGCTGCCCCAAAGGTGCTGCTGCATACAGAGTAGTTTCTCGAAGAATTTTCGATCATACACAGTAGTTTCTCAAAGAATTTTCGATCCCCACGCGTTTGTAAAATCGGAACGAGAATTCTCTGTTACCGGTTTGGTTTATTCAGGAGCCTTCTGCACAAGCTTTGCTGGAATAGGGCAACGAAGTTCCCATGCGCAACAACAATATCAAGCTATGTTTTGCTGTGAACAATTTTCTTCTCGTGGCTAGTTGTCCTTGCGTTCATCCGAGTTAGCTAACCCTAAGAGTATTGCAACATCGAGCTTTTCATCGAAGAGGTCAAGAGAAGCAAAGTTCTTTTTGCTCTTCTCCAGCTTAACAAGCAAATGCATGTGATTTACCTTTATAGAAATGAAATGTTCATGCGGTGACAATGGTAAGTGCGATGACGACGGAAAGTGTACTTGTAATGAAGGATATGAAAAAGATGGAGAAGGAGTATGTGAAGGTAAGTGATTACCTTTACTTGCCTCATCATAATGGTCTTTGGATTGAGATAAACCGATAAATGTCTATGTGCTGCGTAGCTCTTTGGTTAAATTAGAGTGCGTGCAAAGTGTCATGGCTTTGAAAAATCTCCATACGATATAGGTTTGTTCGTTGTTGGGAACAACGGCCGCTGCAAGATTTGTTGTGGTAAGGGGCGAAGAAGTAAATGCATTTTCCGTGCAACAAGAGAACTAGAACACCAGAAAGAAAACCTTGTATGCTCAAAAGTTTTTCAAGGAATTTCTCTAAAGTTGCGACAAAAGATAAATTTTATTCTGTTTGTGCTAAACAACCTCCAGCTGTTCAAAAGTTCGCAGTGAAAAGAGTCTGAAAATAGCAGTATCTGATAATTTAGGCTTAACAGGCGGTGTTATATGTAAACCTTGATCATAATTTGGGAATCGGGTATTTTGTTTGTATGAACACAGTATTTAAATAACAACCAGCTTTTCAATCTTTACCTTGAATATCTATTATACTTATAATAAAAAGAAAACTACACGTTAGCTCGAAGATATAAATTTTATGTTCGAGTGGCAAGAGCAATAGCTCACTAGTTCGATGCGCTCCCTCGTGAGATATTGTTCTTGCCACTCGAACATAAAATTCATATCCATGCGCCACCGTGTAACATCCTCCATTCATCCTTTTCTTTTCTTTTATTATACTAGACATTGACGAGTGTAAAAAAGGGGCAAAGTGCACTGGTGATGGAGAGAAGTGTGTAAATGAACCAGGGGGACACTCTTGCTTATGCAGAGCGGGATATGTGAATAATCATGGAGGATGCGTCAAGGAACCTCGTAAGAATTTGTTGGCATAATATGAATGTTCTTGTGTATGATAGCGTCCTCGAGTAAATTTATCTGCTTCCTGATGAGGGATACCTTAATCCTAGGTCTCTCTCCTTTTCGTCAACCAAAATTGATGGTCGTATGTGATGCTTATTAGGTTTTTAAACTGTATTAGTCTGCGACTCTTGCAATAAAGAAAGAATTTGAAACGTCACAAGCACTGATAAGTAACGAAACACATGCACTATCCCTCGTGGAATTGCTTAGAGCTGGTTAATCAAGTGAAGGTGGACATCAATAATACTAGAGGATAAAGTTCGTATTCAAAGGCAGGCATGCAATATCCTCTATCTATCTTGAACAGAATGCAAGTGTACATCGCACGAAGAATGCTTCAACGGAAAGTGCAGGTGCAAGAAAGGATACAAGAGGAACTCAAAAGGGATGTGTGCTCGAAAACGTAAGTACTATTCACGAGTGAAAAAAGACGTATCCTTTTAATTTGGATACTTAGACTCTGAACTCTAATTGTGCAGCGGCTCTTACTTTCCTGGTATGAATTTCCATCTGTTCGTCATTTGGAGGATAAATTGTGTTAAGATCACTTGATTGAGCCAATGGTGTTCTTTGTTATCAGAATGTATTTCAAAGGGTAAGAAATATGTATTTAGTCTAATAGAGAGCGAGAGAAAATATACTTAACAATCTTTGATCATATTATTCATTTTCTATATTTCTATGTTATTCATTTTCTATTTTTTTAAGGTGGCTTAGTTGGTTCAGGCTACTCTGTACACGTCACCAGTCACCTGGGCACCCTCGGCCTCGTTCTTATGCTGCTTGGGCGCTTGGCCGTTACAGCATGAGGAACCGCGCCTACTGCTTGCTTTGCTGCTGCATGCTCATTCTTTTAACTTTTCTCTTTTTGTCTTACAAAAACATCTGTATGAAATTACTGTATTTGTAAGAGATACTTCTATACGTGGTACAAATCTATACGGATGATTCAAGAAAGTTTGAAAAAATTATATTTTTAACTCCTTACACTGATATCTACCCTTTCAAACATAATTTTTCACGTTCAAATAACTGTTTATCTGAACCTCATCAATTGTACTCTTTCACTCGTTGTTTCATTGAGTTTGTTTCGTGTCTCTTCAAAGACTTCTTACTATTTTTTAACACAACCATCAAGTCCTCTTGTTATCCTGAATGATGTGAAGTTACGTGAAATTTTTCCTGATATTTGATGTCAAACATTACCAGAATTGAACTTCTTACCTTGTCAATCAATAAATTTGCTTCGCCTTGCTTTGCTCGCTTAGAAAAAAATGTTGTCTTTGATGATCTTTTGTCTGTATGAATTGGTCTCCCGGGAAGACGCGAGGGAATATATATCGCACAATCTCAGCTGACTGAAAATCTCCCTTTGATGATTGAGAGGATGAAATTATCAGTCATGATGAAAAGCAACGGAGTCAATAGCTTACTTAAACTTTAAAACAACGAACAAGGTTACATTCCTTAACAAAAAAATTCTTAAAAAATCTCACTTCCGGAGTAGAGCGACCTATTCAGGTTTTCGATTGGGTTATCCTAGTTTAGGACTGGGGCTCAAAAGAAATAAGTATGTACTTAAACAATTATACGTGAATAGCCTAAAACGCGCGCACCGATTGGCTACTCAAACTCCGAATATAGTTTGTTAGTATATGCCACTAAGGTTACTATTCACCTCTTCACAATGATTGTTAATAATGAAATTTTCAACTCCAAGTAGTGCATTTCTAGTGTTCTGATTGGTTTATCAGCTCATTTTCTGAATCACCTTATAGAAATGCATTGCACCAACTGTTGCGGAGCTGGAAAAAGGCTCCGCCAAATAACCAAACTTTTCGCACTTGTTGGATGCAAGACTGGTTAAGCCAAATCAACGCTACGCGCCATGTTGGCTATTTACCATCACATTTTCAATGCGCGCCCAAAAATTTTATAATCGTTGCAGGAATTACTGCTTTAGTATATACTACAATAACTATTCACCTTAGTATCGGTGGTTAGCGGTGGATATCTGCTTCGTTGCTCGGTAAATATCCACCTCCAGCCACCTCTACTTCAATAAATAGGTAAATAGTTGAAAGCATACACTGCAAAAAGTATGATTCTTAAGTGAAAAACTAAAAAAGTAAGAGTGTTTGAACTGAAATATGAAGTTTTCACTGAAATTAGCGCAATTATGTCAACCAAGTGTACTTCGCTCTCAAATAAGAATCAATTTCCCTTAAAAAAAAATTGAAGCCCCAAAACAAGAAAAAATTTCCCCTTTTAAAATAATATTCCCTTAACAAAGAGTCACTTAAAATGCATTGCACTTATATCGGTGTCTTCTATTTCTTTTAAGTGTATCTGCTTGGAAGTAGGTTCAAATTCCCTAAAGAATGTACTTTAATATTTTACTTATTTTAAAATCCTTATAAGAGAAGAATGACTATGAAGTTAAGTGAATTGAAATAAATTTATTTTGTTGTGCTGCACTGTGCACCAGGAACATGCATCCAATCCCCTCCTAAAACACTCAACAAAAACAGCATGATACCAGCACAAGCTGTGGTATAACTCAAATAATAAATAACAACTTTAAAACACAATTGAAATTCACGTCTAACTGTAGATATTGATAGAAAATATAACATTCTCATAACCACAATATTTGTTACTTTAATTGAGAACAGCCATGGAAGCAAAGTCATGCAAACAATGAGCTGGAACTGATATTGAGAAGATTTAGTTATTTTGTATATCTGAAATGCTGCCTTTCAACTTAATGTAACTAGAGCCATGATATATATACATGGCCAAAGGTGTGTGAGTAATTAGCATATCTGGCGTGATTGAAGTAATGCATGAGGCTTGTGGACGAACCTCAAAAGCTTTAAGTGTTTCATCATATCCTACCGTTTCTAGACGTACTACATCATGGTCTACATCATCAAACTGGATGGCCAAATAGCATTTATCCTCTATATATTTTGTTCCATGAAGTTTAATCCATTTAAATGATTCCACATTATTTATTGAATTTGGATCAAGAGCAAGAGTGGAAGAAATCCTGTCCTTTATTCTTGACAATTCTTCTCCTTTGGGATGTTGCACAGGACCATATTCATTACCCTTAAATATTGAACCAGCACTGCAATTCATGGCTGCCTTCTTTTGATGGTGATTGGATAAGGATAAACAAATGTTCTTCAAATTCAGTATTTTCTTAAGGTCTTTGAAGTATTGATGTTTTGCCTCAAAACGCATGGCCTACAAGTTTATCAGTGGACCAAGAAGAAGCATAACTTTTGGAAAATGTGTAAGGTAGTGCTGCTTTGGAGTAAAAGGTTGTTCAGGAAAAAGTTCATTGAAGAGTCTCAAATATTCAGCAACATTTTCCTCTAGCTATGCTATGGTTTCAAGGCTAACAACTGATGCAAAGCAAATTTCTGTAATGTCACTTAACAAAATGTATAGCTCCCAGTGGCTGTCAGAAAAGTTAATACTGTCTCCAACAACAAACAGAAAAATGCGAAAGAGTAAACAACATTTTGCTGCATCTTGATTCAGAGTTGTAGAACCATGGAGATCTTTTTCACATATATAGTTGGGCTTATCAGTTATTTCCATGTAACTATATGGGATACTTTGAATGGCACTGTTTATTGTTGCAAGATTGGTTACTTTAGTGTCAATATAATGTTTTATAAGAGCTTGTAATGTTAGGGGTGGAACTCCCTCTAAGAGAACATGCATAACATCTGGAGGAGTTTGTTTAAACATATCAAAGTGTGGAAAGTCAGTGAGGATACTTTTCCTGTTAATACCATGACTGGTTCTGTAGTGGTCCTCAAGGGTCTGAGTGGCTCCACTGATCACACTACATTGCTCTAAATGCTTCTTGAGTGTTTATGCCTCAAAATCTTCCTCTCTGAATCCATTTTGCATGGCATTATTATCAGCATTACAAAACCTGCACTTTCTGAGGGCACCACCCACTGATTCCTTCAAACCAATAGCTTTGTGAGCAGTTGGATTATCTGCTACATATGCCACCAAAGATGCTCTCATACATATTGTCTCACCATCCTTCAAATTGATTGGATACCCATCTGGCATGCTGTGTTGCTTCAAGTCATTCAGGAAGGGTTCAAGAATGATGTCAAACCCATAGGTAGCAATATCCTCAGACTTCACCACTGCAAAAAGATTGATTGCATCAAGAACACTGCAATATTTTGTGGGGAAGTTACTTACCAAGTAGTAAAACAATAAAAGCTTGTGTTTCTTTACCCTAGTGCCCACAGCATTACACCGTTCTATTTCATCACTATACAGGATAAGCCCTAATGTGTTTCCATCAATAGCAAAGAGAGGGTGATTGGATAAGACTACACCATCCTGAAGAAATTCCAGTTTGCTATCAGATCGATTATAGTTAGACTGCAACAGTGCTTTTCTCAACTCTTTATCAGACAATAAAGCTTCCAAGTTCTTAATGAGAGGAATAAAACAATAGGTGTGCTTCTTCAACAACTGATGATTCTTTTTTCTGCCATGTCCTCTGGTCCTTGAAAGTGTTGTTCCAAGAGTCCTCTGTACTGGTTGCTACAACAAAATAGATTATGAAAATCATTCCAGGTCATTTATATTTTTAGAACTGAGAAACTCATCGCATTTCAATGCTCATTCTTTCATATTTTTTTTTCCATAACTGTCTCCCTTCAGTTTCTTGTTCTCCATTTTTAATAGTTCTCAATAATGTTTTGTATTTAATGACCTATATACCAGTGAGAGTACTCTTGGATGTGGAAAATACATGTATAAATAATAAACAGAATGACCATTACTTTTTTTAAAGCAACAAAGGTCTCAAAAACAAACAGTTTGCTGAATATTTAGGAGGCAAGCAGAGAGTGCTAACTATTAATTACTCTTAATTAGTCCTCAAAAGTACATACCACAACATTGAAGTGTTGGTTGATAAATTGATTTCTTAGCCAATTGCTGTGGCAGCGTTTAAATGGGGGAAATCACTTAAGTCCAAACAGTCACTAATATCAACTCTGTTTTCCAATTTCCTCTTGACTCTTTGGCCAGCTAACAACACATTGTCCTAGCAGATTTGCGTAGTATAGCTCATAACAGATTTAAGAGCACTTTGAGGTAGTCCGTATTCCTCTCTCATGCTAAAAAACAACAACAAACAATCTCACTTGTAAATCATTCGAGCAGCACGCCCCTCCCCCCCCTTCCCGGCACACTGTTACTTTTCATCTGGTCATCCAACTCATTTGGATCGATGCCCGTTTCATGAGCAGTAGCTAACTCTCCAGATTCGTCGGCTTCCTCCACAGTCAAATCAGCTGAGTGTTGCAAACTGTCCTCGTTTCCTTGTTCAGTTGGCACGATAAAGTAATTCCCGTGCACTGGAGGAAGGGTGTGACCTTTGTATACATCGTCGTGCTTTCTACGAACGTGTTTGTAAAAACTGTTGTACTTAAGGAAAACTTTTTGGCAACCTGGTGAGTCCCCGAGACCACAGGTAACTTGAAATTCGTCGTCTGAGTGTACTAAATTCAGGTGAGTGAACAAAATTCGCAAAGATATTGCGCTGAATACGCACGAAAGAAGCATACATGTCCACATTTTCGGGAGCCTCGCTCTCAATTCTTCAGAAGGAGACTTGGACCAAGATCTTGACAGCCTCGATTTCAAGATCGCGTACATTTTTTTTTTTTTCCATCGGGCTTGCGGAGAGAAGAATTGTTGACACTTTCACCATCAGATTTGGCGAAAAAACTTCAAGAAGTTGGGTTACCAAAAA